GGAAAACAACACACTACAACTGGTGTGGGTCCCGGGCCACAAAGGCATACAGGGAAACGAGGAGGCTGACAGACTAGCAAAAGAGGCCGCAGCCACTCGACCCATAGGCCCTGAACCCTTCCTTGCAGTGGGGCCTCATATAATCAAGGAGGAGTTAAGAGCAGAAGAGCGAAGGTTAAGAAGAGCACACTGGGAGAACACGCCTGGGCTAAGGCGGGCGAAAGAACTTCTTGGAGGATATAATCCCAAAAGATCTAGGGAACTTATAACCCTTAAAAAGACTAACCTGAGATTCTTTACAGGAATGCTAACGGGGCACTGCAGACTGCGGGCCCATATGCATAACCTGGGGATCAGTGCGAACGATCTATGTCGGTACTGCGACATGACACCAGAAACCCCGCGGCATATCCTATTTGAGTGCGATGCGGTTGCGAGAAGAAGGCTAACACACCTGGAAAGGATGGGGCCAGAGGTTACGCATATACACTCTCTACCTCCCTCGAAACTGCTCGGATTCATCAGGGCATTGGGACTGGACGATGTGTTATGATGAGCTCCGAGGGCACAATAGACCTAAGGTCGCAGTGCCCAGCCTCTAACATTCTATCTATCTATGCTAGCTTATAGGTGCATGTAACCGCTGACTGCTTTAAGGCACGGTTATTTAGAAATTATACTTCTATAGACAGGACCCAGTCGCGACGTTACGCGCTTTTAACTGACATAAAAATAAATAATTAGTTCTTTGCTTTAACATATTTATAAAATTTGTATACTTTAATTGTTTCATTGTGTTCTCGTGAGCTTAATCGTGAGCAAAGTATGAATAGTTGTATGCCATAACGTATTTATTGTAAGATTTCGTTGTTTCCGATTTACAAGTGAAATCCTCGAGCAGCTCTGGGCTTTTCTGTGCTAAATCTGCAAATGCTTCGGCCAGCGCATGTTGCGTTGCAACTACATGATGAAAATGTGAACTAAATTCACGCGTTAACGTAAAATCGAAAGATATTTGCGTTGTGTATTCCGCAACCGTTCGATTTGAACTTCAAACTCTGAACCAATGGTGCGTTGGTGTGCCAGGTGCTAAAGATAATACAGAAATTTTGTATATGAAAATTTGATTGAATACTTAATGAGTGTAATTATTGCAAGCTTACCCGAATGATTACGAATTGGCAGACTATTTGGTGGCGTACAAAGAGTACCTGCGTGATGGTGTGGAACTTGCGGGACAAGGAGTACTTGCGATAAGATGCTATATTGTGGAGTTTGCGAGGTGAGGAGCTGACCTGTGATGTGGGCATGCTAAAAGTAAACAAACAATAAAATATATATTTTTCTAAATAAATAAAAACTAAGTTTACTACTTTCTTTTATTGATTTACCTTGATTTAGAGAAACCGGTCTCTTTTGTTGTTTTTGCGCCTTCTTGAGGTTCTTTATCAACTGGTACATGCGCGTTTTAAAAAATAATTTCTTTACATCATCGCTGGCACTAATGTGTTGCGAACACGCGTTCAGCTTAGCCAAATATTTTGAGCAAGGCTTTATTTTGTCGACATTGTGGCTGCGTTTCTTTATACATTCCGGATAATCCCATTTCACAGCCGGAATAAACAGAATGCGTTTGAAATATACGTCAACATATCATCAGGAACGTTCTAAAGAGTAAATAAACAAAAAAGTGTATTCCAAACGTTCAGAATGAATAAAGAAATGCAGCCTGTATGTCTTGAACACGATCTCCAGGCTTTTGATAACATCCAAAAAATCGCTGGATGGCTTGGTCAAGGCGCCTCTAGAGACTTCGTAAACCCAAGTGTATGTATGCTCCTTTGAAATATATTTTTACCCAACTTTCCCAATTTTCTGATAATGAAACCGGCGATGTATTCCAGGGCATCCTCGTATAAGGCGCTTATCTCTACGTCTTGCTCGACCTCATTGGGAAACGCTAATTCATTGGAAAATGCGAATTCCTCGGAAACCACCTCATCATTAGTAAGAAGGCCTTTTAGGTTTTCTACTGATGTGTCTCACTAAGGCGAAGCCACTCGGTTTCGTCGGATTCCATATTTCTCCGGGCAGCGTAGCTTTCCGTGTTACGCGCTAAAACAAGATATTGAGTATAAAGATTGGAATCAAATAAGAAGTTTGAAAAAATATTACCCGCAATCTGTACTTAAAATGCAACGGGCTTGGATTGTCAAAAAGCCCCCGCTCCCATTTGCAAGCATTGCTCCAAAGAAGTGCTCAATAATATCCTGGTTCAACCTGTGCTTCAGGATATATCGAAAAGCATATCTCTCCTTCACATATTCATACAAACTTCTGAGAGAATTGTTGCTCAGAAGGACTACTCTCTGAAAAGGTAACAACGCTTACCGCCCAATCGCCCTAGTATGCTGCATGCAATCCTCCATTTTCGCTAATATCTGCATTTGCTGTTCCAACTCCATGCCAAAGGGTTTCTTTGACGCCATTGACTGGAACGTGGTAAACTTGCGGTTAAAAACGTCGAACCAATCCTTGACCACGGATATGAATTCGACCGTGCATATTATGCCCTAACGCATAACATCGTCTAATTGCACTTGCCGTGTTATGGAAAAACAGTTGGACAGCCAGCTTTACCTTTTGCCGTCCTGCGTGATGAACCCTGAGTTGTATTTATGTTAATTTGTAGGCAATTGATGCATCCGACACCGAAGTCAAAGTGAGCAACTGAGCAATTGTTTGAGGCGTAATTGAGTTTCCTTTGAACACATAACCTGTGTGTGCGGCTCTCAATCGCTAAAAGTAAGGCATTGTCTAACAGCCTCACCCTTTTACGATCGGAACCTGACAAAATCGGCCGATGAGAAATGATGCGAACACAATTTCGCCGCAGGACTTAGTTGGACTCCGCAAGAGTCGGACCATTTTTTTCTTTTTATATCACATTTTGTGGGACATGGAACATCTTGACTCCTTCTTGTGTCCACGTTTTTCGGCACAAAACACAACTTGCTTTCGGCATTTTGAATTAAGTATATTAACAACAAAATTTAATTAGCGTATATGGTTCTAAACCCTACTCTCGAAACTGGCAACTTAATTGAAAATTTCAAAGGGGCAACAGTTATTTTTATTGGCCTTTGGACACTCACCACCTATTTGTCGACTTTAAAGCCGCTTTTGACAGCACTAAACGAAGTTGCCTATACGCCGCTATGTCTGAATTTGGCACCAGCTCCGTCAGAATTGGGAGCCGTTCGCCACTAAACGGGGTTTCAGACAGGGCGACTCCCTTTCATGTGACTTCTTTAATCTGATGTTGGAGAAGATAATAAGAGCTGCAGAACTGAAACGCTCAGGAACAATTTACTACAAGAGCGTGCAATTTCTGGCTTATGCCGATGACATCGATATCATCGGTATCAAAAACCGCGAAATCTGTTCTGCCTTTTCCAAGTTGGATAAGGAAGCAAAGCGAATGTGTCTGGTGGTAAACGAGGACAAGACGAAGTTTCTCCTGTCATCAAACAAACAGTCAGCACATTCGCGCCTTGGCACGCACGTCACTGTTGACAGTTACAATTTCGAGAAAGTAGAGAATTTTGTTTACTTGGGAACCAGCATTAACACCGATAATAACGTCAGCATGGAAATCCAAGGCAGAATCACTCTTGCCAACAAGTGCTACTTTGGACTGAGTAGGCAATTCAGGAGTAAAGTCCTCTCTCGACGTACGAAAACCACGCTCTATAAGTCACTCATCATGCCCGTGCTGGTATATGGCGCAGAAGCATGGACAATAACAACATCCGATGAGGCGGCTCTTGGAGTATTCGAGAGAAAGATTTTGCGGAAGATTTATGGGCCTTTACACGTTGGCGACGGCGAGTACCGCAGACGATAGAGCGATGAGCTGTATGAGCTTTACAGTGACATGGACATAATGCAGCGAATTAAAATACAGCGGCTCCGCTGGCTTAGCCATGTCGTTCGACGCTCCAGCTCTGAAAGTATTCAACTCGGAACCCGCTGGTGGTAGCAGAGGAAGAGGGCCCCACTGCGATGGAAAGATCAGGTGGAGAAGGAGTTGGCTTCACTTGACGTTTCCAATTGGCGTCAGTTGGCACAGAAGAGAAACGACTGGCGTGCTTTACTGAACTCGGCCAAAATCGCTTAGGCGGTTACAGCGCCAAATAAGAAGAACTAGCTAAAGCCTTTAAATTATATGTAAACATATAAATACATACACACTGCTAAGCAAAATAAACATGTACAAGTATTGTATGCAATCTCGCACTTGTAAATAGCATTCTCACATTTTTGGAAAAAAATATTTAAGATGATATTTCTACTTAAGGATTTTGTTTGATATATGTAACTTAGAATAAATCTGTGTCCGTCAGTTAGCTTAAGCTGAAATAGGCCATTTTCCCTTTAAAGCAACTGTTATTATAGGTGTATCTCCTATTTTATCTAATTATATCTTAATTAAATGTCAAACCCTCGAAATTCACTTAAGTTAATTTAAACGGACACAGAAATGTACCAAATATAAATGAGCCAATAAATAACAGCTAAATCCGTCAAATTACTTTCGTACAATGGGCCTTATGAATAAAAACTACGCAATAGCTTTTTCCTAAATTTCAGTTCTTTTACTCCATTTATTCAAATAAATTTAATTAAAAGGTTTGAAATTTTAAGAAAAAGCAATTGCTTAGTTTTTTTTCATAAGGCCCAATGAAACATCCACTTCAATACCCGAACTGTACGTCTGCTGCATTTTACATAAATTTGCATACATTTTACTAAAGCAACAAAACGACTTCAGATGTTATTTATTGACACACAAAATAATTTTAACCCCACTGAAATTAGTAACGCTTAAACTTAAAAAATTAATGTAATTTGGAAATATCATCTTATGAATAAGCACTGCTCTAATAACTTATTTTAACTTACATACAAAACACTTCAAACGGAGAAGCTGCGATTATACGTGTGTGTATGTTAGTCGGAAATCCGCTCCTATGAAGCAGGAAAAATGCAGCACAAAGAAACCTGGAAAGAAAAGGGTTCACTTGTTAGATTGTTTACTTATAGCCACTTGTTTCAGTTTAAATCACGTGTGTGTGTGTTAATCGGAACTGTGTCCCAATGAAGCAGGAAAAATGTAGCACAAAGAAACCTGGAAAGAGAAGAGTTCACTTGTTAGATTGGGTACTTATAGTCACTTGTTTCAGCTTAAATTACGTGTGTGTGTGTTAGTCGGAACTGTGTCCCCAGATGCGTTAGTCGGAAATCCGCTCCTATGAAGCAAGAAAAATGCAGCACAAAGAAACCTGGAAACAAAAGCGTTCACTTGTTAAATTCTTTACTTATAGTCACTTGTTTCAATTTAAATTACGTGTGTGTGAATGGAACACCGTGTCCACAAAAGCTAATTGATGATGTCGCTCCTCTGGGGCAGGAAAAATTAACAAGTGGAGTAGCGCTGAAGTCGAAAGCCAAAAAGTGGAAAGACAAAGAAACCTTTAAAGAAAAGTTCACTGGTTAAATTGCCACGTTATAGTCACTTTCTAATAGCTTCGGACAAGGTTTTCAGGAACCGATTTATAATAGATTTAATTAAATAAAAGCGGAATTTATACATGACCACGTGCCGCACGACCAGAAAATACAATTGGTGAAATAATACCTCACAGTGGGACTCAAATTGTATGCGCTGCGCTTAATTACCACGAAAATTAGATATATTACTCATTAATAATTAGAAAATTTAACTATATTAAGAAATAACTCGAGATTATTGGCAAACTTATCCAAATGCACGCAATCGGAAAAATCAAATGACAGCGAATATGAAGAAAACAAAGCGCAATGATTTTTATACGTAAAACTACTATTTTTTTAGGTAATTTTTAAAAGAAGCAACACGGTGCCATGCCTAAGGGAGCGGGTCGAGAGGGACAACTGCCAGTTTATCTGACCTTTAATTATTGAATCATGCTGCCGGCTGAATAATGCATGCAAGGGCGTAGCCAGGATCTGATATAAGGGGGGGGGGGGTTACAAAATACACTTGTTAATTTTTTATATATTTTGTTTTATTTAATCATTTTTATGCTAATAACGATTTTCAGCAAACTTTTCGATTATTTCCTTCTGAATCATCTCGCGGTTTTCGGTAACGAGTTTTTAAAACTTCTTCGGACAAGTTCTTTCTCTTCCATAAATTGTACTAAAGAATGAGTTCACTTTCCATACCTAGATCATAGATCTGTTGAAAATGCTTCGATTTCTTTTGTACCTTTTCATTGGAACATTTAATCGAATACAATCGGTGTAATCTAGACAGCGAAAGCTGGAGTATTTTCATTGGAAAAGCGAAGTTGAAAACAGGCCGTTAGTGAATGCAGATACGGTATTATTATAGACCGTCGCCAGTACTAATTTTCATTGAAAGATGGGGTTACTTCAGTTTTTTTGTTTACCTGCCAAACATGGTAGAGAAATTTCTGCTCCTATATCGGCTGTAATCATACGAGATTTTTTAATTAGCTCCGTAGTGACTCCTTCTGCATTCTTTCGATCATTCTTAACCACCTCTAAAATATTTTCAATATGCTGATCAACTGCGATGAGGTCTATTGTCTTCATTTGCAAAATGTTTGTTGTAGGTTCCAGAAACATTGAATATTTAGCAATTGTCATTAAAGCAATGATGAACATCGGCCTTGTTATAGCAGCACACAATTGATACGCAGACTTTCTTGTGGAAAAGTTTGCCTGAATTGACAACTTTTCTAAAGCTTCCACAACTTCAAGACAATTTTCTGAAAATTTCCTGATAGCATTATATTTTTCCGACCATCTTGTTTCACACAAACGTGATATATCAGGAGCATAGTTCTTGCGTGTCATTGATTCGCGAAAAAAGTGTATCACATATTTTTGGGTAGAAATAGGACTTCTTATTTCTGGAACCTCGTTTAAGTCATTCACAATAAGATTTAACGGAAGAGGAAGTGTTTTTCTCGTTGGGTTTTCTGGTTGGGTTTTTTCCATCCTGTTTATCACAGAATGGTAAGAGAAACTTAAAGTAGTGTTTCTTCCAATTCTGTACCAATTCAATGATTAACGCTGTGCTTACTTCATTGTAACAACGATGAAAAACGCAGACCTTATGTGGAAATTGAGGGTATAATAACGAATTCGATTACGCATACAATTTAGTATTTTTTTTTACTGATTTTTGAAATTTTCTCCTTCGCTTTGTAGCTGAAAGGAGGCAGGCAGCCCTTGAATGTATTGGAGCTTTCGCACGAGGCGATTTTTTAGGCAACTTTTGCGTTCGACTTACGCAGGGTTCCACGAAAAAAAAATTGAATGGCTAAATATATCTAAATATAAAAAAATATTTAAATATTTGCCATAAAAAGGCATTTGGGTTTTTCAACTTTGCATTCTACTCTTGGTTGAACGGTAGTTCAACTAATCGCTTTCAACAAAGTTGGTCGCCAGCCAACATCTAGCCATTCAACTTTTTTTTTCGTGGAACCCTGCGTGAGTTGGACGCAAAATCGCCTCGTGCGAACGCCTTTTATGTATAAAACTGGCTACACACGACGAACATCTGCGCGCACATGCGCGGCTTGCGGTGCATGTTCGTTGTTTGTAGCGTGGTTGGCGAGCATCGCATTGGAAACAAAAACAACAACCTCATTTTATGTTGATGCTTGTAGTGTGCACATCGCGGATAAATGCATCCAAGCCATGTGCGTTAATTGATTTTTTGATAAATGAGGCTCAATTACTATATGTATATGTATGTACATACATACAAGTAAAATATAAATAAATTTAAGTAACACATACATAAAAAAACCTAAGTCATAAGTATTTCAATTGCATCATCCACGTCTTTCCTTTCCATGTTTGCGCTTTGAGTACAAAATCACTTATGAACCGTTCACCGTCTGTAGCAAACGACAGCGAGCATGTTGGCGCACATGTGCGCGCAGATGTTCGTCGTGTGTAGCCAGTTTAAGTGAAAACTATAGATAGTGCTTACTGGCCGTCTCCACAGGATAAAATTTATTGCTGCCCAGCTGTCATTTTGGTCGCTAGATATAAGTTATATCAGTGGCAATATTTGTGTGGGCTTTTTATATCTTGATAGGCATTTGTAAGATAGCTTTGAAAATGTATTTTTGCCGGATTTAATTACTTAAAATATTTAGAAAATAGGCTATTTTACATCCAATTCCTGCAAATGAAAATGTAGCTGTCAAACTAGATGGCAAGATATAAGCTCTGATATATATTGCTCTTGAAGAGCAATGAGCGGTCTCCATTGGCTATTTATATTCTAACATATGTATCAAGATATAAACTTTATCCTGTGGAGACGGGCAGTTAGAAAACCATCGATACTATTGATACTGGCATCGATAGTTTTCCAGCTTTATGAGGAGCCTATAGTCGGAGGAGAAAGGCCATTGAACTCTTTGGTCTTTCCCAACGGTTTTCTTTTTACCCTCCATTCTTTGCTCTCTCATGTTATTTTTTTTTTTTTGTACCAGGCCCAAATTCAAATTTCTTTAAATTTGTATAGATTTTCTGGGGCAAACCGTAGTTCAATATGTATCAATTGAAGAAAAATCTAATGTCTATTCTCGTCAAAAAATCGAGTCGGAAGGGCTCGATTAATCGATCTTCGATTTAGTCGATTTAAAAACCGTAATACCATGTTCGGACCGACAACGAAAACTCTTTGAAAACGAGTTTTGGGATTGTGGGCTGTAAGATGTTCGCACCGGCTGTTGGAGTTTTCGTTGGCATTTCTTTCATCCTTTGTTTACAGTTTTGTTACGAAAAAACAAAATCAAAATCTTTGTCTTTCATTTACTTATCATTAGCAACTGACAATAAATCCCAACTAGCGTATTAAAGATGCTAAGATATGACTTCCGCTTCGATAAATATATGTAAAATACTAGTGAATACACCGATTGGAATGAGTGGAACGTGAGTTTTCAAGTAGCTTTCAGCGAAAGCTGGTTTTCGTTTGACAGCTTCTAGATGGACGAAAACACAAGTTTTAGGTCGAAAACCAGTTTTCGCTGAGAACCACTTGAAAACTCACGTTCCACTCATTCCAAACGGTGTCTGCTTAAGTTTTTTTCGATTATTTATCGAAGCGGAAATCATATTTTATTATCCTTAATTTGCCATTTCGGATTGATTGTCAATTTTCTGGCCAATGTAAAATAAGAATGGAAGAAAAAGGTTGTTAGTGAAAAGAAAAGTATTTTGATTTTGGTTTTGTGTAGAAAAACTGTAAGCACAGGATATAAGAAATGTCAACAAAAGCACTAACAGTTGGTGGGAACATCCATCAGCCCACAATCCCAAAACTCGTTTTAAAAGTGTTTTCGTTGTCGGTCAGCAACGTTTAACGTAAAGGGCGTGTGTGAATCGGTAACAAAGTTCTATGGGGAAAGCTGTTGAATAATATCTTTACTATTGTGCGACAGTTTTGCCAATCTGCTGTGTGAAATGAAATCTTTTTTGACAGCAGTAAATTTTTTATAACCGCAGATTTATGCGGAATAAAATATTACAAATTGAAGAGAAATTAATATCTTAAGATTATTACTGTGTGGCTAATGCAACGTTTTTGCTGCATTTAAAATGCAACATTTAGCACTTTCGAGCATATTTTTTCGAAGAGCGTTCATGCTATCGCATTTAACAAATGTACATTTACGCGAGTTCGAAATCGTATGCTTTTGACAAACAGGCGTGTTCCAGTCGCTTAGTCAGATCCGTATCTATCACGATCAATTCGCACAGAGAAGATAATGTGCAAGAAACCCTACTGAAAAAGGAAAAAGGAATTTTAATAAAAAAATTCAATACAAAAACTTTAATTGTTTTAACCATAACAGAAAATTTGTTTGTGTGTATGTTCATTTGTTGGTGCGGTCAATTGAAATTTCCTCAACTAAATAAGGAAAAAAAAACAGAGTTGATCACAAATTGAGCCAGATTTCTGTCAGTATCACATCGATGTAGTATTTGCGCAACTTTTCTTCTTCCAAATAATGTAAAATAATAAACGAAATCTCGATCGGCGATCACTGAAACGCAGCTAGCAACTGTGTACGCGAAAAAGCAATGTTGCCACTTTTTCTCATTAAACCATGTTCGAATCGTGGAAATTTTTGAAGATCACAGGGTTGCTTTTCGCATTTCGACTTTTAATGCAGAAATGGAGCTGCATTTAGTCATGGTGAAATAAAAATAAGGTGATGTCAGTTGGGGGTGGTTGTTGTAATTTTGACAAATTCGGTAGCCCGGTTCTTAATGATGCCCTATTGAACAAAAACTACACTAGAAAAACTCCTTTTAGTATTGTGCTGAAAACGTAAGAAAGAACATCACTATCCTAGACATTTCTGTTTAGTTGTGACTTTTCCATTTAATATTTTTTGCAAAAATTGTGATTTGTGTGTATATTC